GGCCGCATTTTTGCGCGGAGCGCGAGCTTAATACTTTGTCTTCGGACCAGCTCCGGAGGCCGTGAATCAGATCCCGCCATGGTTCTGTTATGATTCAATGGTCCACAGGTGCAGACACAAACACCCGCGGTAGCTCGCGGATGGATGCATTTTTTCGGCTCCGGGCGGTACATTCAAAAAAGTGTCAATTTAAATCGGCGACTCTCCATAATAGCGCCCCATTGTTTACAAGGATCAACGCATTCGCTCTCGTCTGCCATGAGCGGGCGATCGGAAAGGCCGGAAGGCGCGAGCGATGGAGCCGCTATTTCAGCGGAGGAGGCTAGGCGGCTTACGGCTCACTTGACTCACCTTGCGGAGACGGACTGACTCTTCTCGAGGCGCCTGTATAATGCCCCTTCACGAACTGAAATGGCATCCTCTTGCCTCCCGCTGAAATGCTGTAACTTCATCCCAGACTACCCCTTCGGAAGCAGAAGAACGCTATCAGAAATCAGAATGGATTCAAGCTTTTATTTTTGCCGAGCTCTCACTCCTTTCCATATCCAGTGGGAATTATTGCCGACTCTAAGATCTCAAAGGCCATTCTTCGCCGAAAATACGACATATCTTCCTGGTCGAAATTCACCTCAGCGTTCTGCGCTGCGTAATCCGCAAACTTCAGAGCAAAAATGCCACAGTCTGACCCATTTTTTTGTATCGGGAGATAATGCGAAGTCTCTAGTTTCCACTCGGTGCACTTGAGTTCACGATTTTGCTTGTGCAACATTTCTTGCGCGAGGTAATCCAGCAGTCCCCGCAAGCAAGCGTCGTTCTTGCCGCCCAGCGAATCGCAGTACTTGATTTTCCGGTTCCGAACGTCAATTATCGCCATGCACCAGTGGCACTGACGATGGACCGGAACAAGCAAGATATCGAAAGTGAAGATATCTACATTTCGAGTCCATTCCTGGACATTGCAGTAGCCTTTTTCATAGCACAGCAAAAAAAGGTATTGAAGGCATATACTTTCGGGAGACCTACATTTTTCCTGCTCCTGCTGACAATCAGATTCAAGTACGTGTTGACAATAGTATCGTTGAGCCAATGGGGTTCGAGGAGCGTCTGGAGATCGCGACGATACACGGCCAAGTTGTTCACCCGTACGAGAAGTTTATTGGTTTCCCCTTCCATAGCTTCCTGGATCCTTGAATTCATCTCGGGACTGATGGCAGGTATTCGAGGATTGGAGTTCCCATCCCGGGACCGTTTCAAGAGTTTCGGTCGAGATGGATTTTGCGCGTACGGACAATTCCCGCAGACATTGACTGTCGGATCGAGTCGAGAAAGCTCGAGGAGCGGAATTCGCTTTGCGGCCACATTGGCGTAGGAGTGATCCTCGTATACATAGAAATATGGATCGAGTCGAGGAATCTCTGGAGCGGGCGACGTGGAGGATCCCGCCGCGTCGAAGTAAGCGTGATCCTGGTAGACATCGAAGCGTCGATCGAGTCGGGGAATATCTAGAGCGGGCGACACGGAGGATCCAGCCGCATCGGCGTCTCCTCGATATCGATGATTAAGGTGATATTCGGCGATGGAATCCGTGTCGGGACCGCTCTCGGAACCCGTGCCCGACTCGCCCTCACCGTTCCATTCGATCTCGTGGAAGCGCCGCTCCATGTCATCCTGCTCGCCGATGGGATACACGGTCCCGGTGGGCTCGCCAGTAGCTGAAGCGTGGCGAGTGTCCATATCGTCGAGCCATCGCTGCATGATAGCGTCTCTCGGCAAGTCAGCATCAACAGTTTTCAAATTACGCTAGTGATTTCTTCTGCCGACTTTATATTTTACTCGATTTATGAACAAGATTCCGTCAATCTCACCACGATCTAGGAGCTCCCAAGAGTGCTCGAGTATCTTTCTGTTGTCTTTCTTAGCTCGACTCTGCTGTGACAGCAAATTCTGCTCACCCAGATGATGGCTCAAGAGATCGACAGCAGAGTCCTGAGAGAAACCCACAAGCACCGAGAGGATGTTCCAGGTCGAACCATGGACGCGTCGAGCATGCCGCAGTAATTTGGCATTATAACTTTCAACGTCATTATTTGTTCTCTGATTCAACCTATGAACCGAAAGCTTTTCGGGGCCGATTGTTCCGAGCCAATGCGACCTTACATACTCCAGGAACTTAGGGAATCCAATGTGGGAGTTCCGCGCTCGCTCGGCGAAGAACTCGAAGGCTACCTCAATGAGGTGCGCCGGGAGTAGAGGGAGGGCCAATAGCGGCAGGAACTTCGAAAGAATCACACCTGGACGGCGTATCGCAGCCGCAAGCCCCATCTCACCGGCTCTCTTCACCAAGCGCTGGGAATAGTGGAACCAGCAACCGAAGAGGGCAGCTTGGGGAAACTCCGAGTGAAAAGCTGCGCGCATTGCCGCGTCCCAATCACCCATATAGGCTGGTATCTCAAGGGTCGTCGCGCAGCTCTTCAAACGTCGTAACACCAGCGCATACGCCTCTGCGGTGCTGCGGTTCATCAGGGCGCACGCTATCATGCCTACGTAGCCGTCCCAGTTAGCATGCAAAGTGAAAATCTGCCTACAGATCTTCCGCGGAGCCGTCTTGTACGTTGCATCCGCGTGGAGCATTGTTACTTCCTCCAGAGAGTTCAGAAGCCGGCTCGTGGTCAGGAGTAGAGTCTCCGATTGAGGATCGAAGAAGCTTAGGATTCGCTCGCCGTCCCGAGTGATCGTGTAACCCCGTATGATCTCAGTGGCAATCTTATGGTGGAGTTCTTCTAAGCTTTTGACATCCTTGGGCCTGACCTGGTTCGCGTGGAGGCGGAGGTATTGCAGCTGCTTCCGAGGTATGATGTTGGAAGCAGGCTCAATCGGAAGATCGCGTCGGTGATCAAGCACCACATTCATCAGGAGTTTAGATGGATTATTCCGGATGTCTTTAATCATTGCTTCTTTAGTGGCATGGTATTCTTGAGCGAAACCTCTTGAGTCCGGCATGTGGTTATGTATTCCAGAAATCTTGACGATGGCCCCCGAGCGGTTATTCTCGCGTATACAGGGCATCGGGTGCTATTTCTTTTCAATATGTACGACTTACATCTGAGGGTAAGTGTAGCGTCGGCGTTGATGCGTTTGCGGTGGAACATGAACGCTGAGGAGCCCTCGAGCGAACCGACTCTGAAGCGGCCGCTCTCATGGCACCAACAGTCCCCATCCCCAAAGCGGAGTGATGGCACCTTGACGAAACTTTCAGACATCGCGGAAAAACGTGGACTTCGGAGTTGGAAAAGAGCAGTCGGAACTCCGCCTCACCGAACTCGTTAAGGCCAACAATCAATGACCACATGATTCCGGAGATTGAGAGCGACGAAGTGTCTACATTTCTATTCATGGAGACAAGTCAGCAATCCCGCTCCGACGCTTGCAAGATGCAAGCGACGTTTTGGGAAAAATGTGACGACATCCAAACGTCTGATGACTTGAAGATCGGATCTCATCAAGTGATAATCGAATCCGTTCCCCTAGCCAATGGCAGAATTAAGGGAAGGGCCGAGGAGGTCTTACTCTAGAGCAGGGGTTGCCAGTTGCCAAGTGGGGGTCCGCGACGGGCTTCCTGAGTCGGATTCGGAGTCAGATTCCCCAATGGAAAATATGATCATTGATCATGAACTGTCTGGGAGTGACTCATCGGCGATGAGTCTTGGAAGTTCAGGCATTTATAACCTACATCACTTCTTCTTCTTTTTTTTGCGCACATAGATCGATGGATTGATAGATAGATTAATGATCATTGAATTTTCGGTTTCTCTCGGTCCCCGAACGGAATCGATCGTTGCACTCCTCAATTTCACATTCATTTCACATATTTCAGAACATCAAGTCTGCAGACATTGCTGACAAAGACTAGGAATTGAACTTCGAACCTCGCATTCGAAGCTTGCCAAAAGTGCTTTATGAGAAATAGGGGGTCCGCCGACTCCAGCTCCCCCAAGTTGGCCACCCCTGCTTCTTGAGGCGAACCCGAAAAACTTGAGCCATCCCGGGCATGTCAGTAACTCATCGGAGATCGATCCGATGGAGCCGGGTGATCATTATGCACGTCGTTGTCGGGGGAAGAGAGCATTTCGATTGACATCGCCTCTCAAATGATCTCGGCCTAGGCGGCGATAAGGAAGATACGACGCCCCGAGATGGGAGAATTTTTAGTTCCTCCATGTCAAAACTGAGCTCTTCTCAGTGAGGCTATCGTGTCCGATAACTTATAAGTGATTCAGGCTTTATGTTAAGAGTATATAATATGTATACGGATATCTCCTGAAAATACTTTCAGAAGTCGCGTCGTCAATCGTCCTGTCATCGCGGCCAGCCAGAAGGAGTGACAAGGTCTAGGGGCACATGCATCCGTTTCCGACGTCTGGTCTCACGGAAGATTTAGTTGTTCTGTCCGCTCCCCCCCTTCTCCCGATTTTCCCGGTACCCCGCCCTGTTCCCTGTTTCCTTGACTCCCATGCCTCCCCATTCCCGCAGTTTCCCGAAGGATATGAGACGCCAATGTCGCCGCGCAGTTTGGCACCCCTATCCTAAGTCGCCGCGCAACGAACTTTCTCGGCTAACATAGTGGGCTGATCGCCGGGACTCCGTGGCCTCTCCGACCGCCCCCTCATAGCAGACGACAGAAAATGCATCTATCCTTGTAAACCTTGGGGCGCTATTATGGAGATTCAAATCGGCCACCCTGTTTATGGTGAGCTGATCCCAGAAGGACACACCGGGCAAGTTCTTGCAGATCGGTGCCAAAGGTCCGTCAAGACAGACCCATTAAGTCCCATTTGAGTAATAATGACACTTCCCCCGTCGATGCCGTGTGCATTGCCTGGACGGGGAAAGGGTCAGTTACGCTAGGATCAGCCGCGAGCAAATGGCGATCTTGCCCGGGCGAGAAGGATGATCCCGTGTTCGAGACTCCCTCAAATAGGAGAGGCGGAACGCGCCGGAGCATTCAGTCCAGAGACAGCGCTTGGTTCGTCTCGTTTGTGGAACAGAATTCTTCATTCCAGAATCCGCTCAGCCGCATTGTGAAATTTTTCGTGAATGCGGTGACAGAGCCCGAGAAGAGAGCTGACGATGAGCACATCGTCTGCGATCGTCAACGCGGACAAATCGCCGGAGCCTGTCGGCGAAACACTCGGTAAGCCAATAACTGCGGTATCCACTGTGCTATTTACGAGAGGCGAACGACAGTGCCGGCTTATTCCACGGCCAGCCGTCTTGACTCTCTCCGGACGTTTGCTGAGCTCTTAGGAGATCCAATATCTCCCGTTTCGATGTTCGTAGGATCCGCGGACGAAAGAGCTAGCTTACAGAACCCTATCAACCGCCTTCTCCTGCTAAACACACACGCAATCATGGTGAGAGGATGCCGGGATCTTCCTTGGAATAGCTCAAGCTCCTGTTTGAATCGGGGCGGAGCGGTTTGTCATCCACGTGTAGCTGTCTGTCTGGGCCGGAATGCTTGTGTTTGAAAACTCCGCGGAAGCACCTTGGCAGGCTGAATCTTGTCCCAGCGCCAAGCGCCTGCTCGGGTCCCGAACCTCGCCGCTTCGACTGCCGACCGATGGAACCGCTCCTCATGGTGAGAAGCGAGGCGATCGACGGTCAGCATTCCCCCGACAGAAGTCTGCCGGAAATGAGCGCCTCCGGGAGCGTGGAGAGGAACGAATAGTTTAAAACGCTCGATTGAGGTCATGGTCCACGGGGGAATAATCATCCAGCCAGCCGGTTCGAAGATTCAATGAGCGAATCTCACTCAGAGACAAGTTCTCGAATTCGCCGTCTGTAGGCTCTCTCAGCCCGATCCTACTGGATTTTTTTTCGCCCTCTCCCTCCAGCCCGTCGGTGAGGGGTCCGACTTGTCTGTGGCGGCGCCAGGGCGCGCAAGTTCGCGGGGGGACTCGATCGGCCCGGGAGTGCACGTACGCAGCGCGCAGAATCCTCCCACCCAGCTGGCTATCTTTCGCTGGGAGGGACCAGAAGGGGCTCTGAAGCTTCCACGCCGCTGGAGAGGAACAGCGCGCCTGCTCTGATCATACATACAATCCAATGGAAGAAAATCCATGCCAATCGGCTAATCTACTGGTCGGATCCTCCTACGACTCCTCCCCTAAATATTCCAGAAGACGGTTCGCACACTGACGAGTGCACAAGTGACTTGGCTGTCAAGGTCGGGAGTACCTATGACGAGGACGATGATCCTAAAAACTGCCGGTACACAACCACGAAGAGTAATCTCTGGGACAGACTGTTCTTTGGATTTCTCACTCGGTGAGTATCATGTGACAGTTGATCATCTGCCTGACAGTTGATCGCTGAGGCAGAGAGCGCAAATCGACTCTCCCATATTCAGAACCTATGGGAGCCAATCCGTGCCGAATGCATGCTACCAGGATTCCCCCGGTTTGTCTCTGGAACCGAATCGCCCTAATAGGAACCCGAGTGCAGACTGACGGGGAACGGTCCTGTAAATTTCAGAGTCGTCCTCCGGGGCGCGAGGCATCAGCTCGAAGCGAAAGATCTCCTTCCTTTGCACACGTTGTTCACAGCCAAAGAGACGGCTGCTAGAATCCTGCGTCTATGGAACAAGAGACATGCGAGAAAAAGACCACAAAACGCCGATGAGTGCGTATCTGTCCTTTCAAGCTTATAGGAAACGTTATCGAGATTTCGGCAGTGACCCCATCGTCGGGTCGGGAATTCGGATTCGCGTTCGGGAAACCTTCTCATTGCCTTGTTTCAGAGAAACTCCCGAGACGGATGACGCTACCCTTATCCGCCCTGAAGGCACGAAGAAGTCCGTCAGCATGTTTTCCGTTATATTTGTAGCCTTTTGGGCTGACTTACTCTTCGCAGCCATCTTGTATTTCCTCGCTTCGTTCGTGTATTTGGTCCCACCGTTCCTCATTGGGTGAGTAAGACACCAGAAACGATCCCCGTGTATCCCGCCGATCGTCATGATGAATTGAAACGATCCCGCATTCCAGGAGCCTGGATGATTTCTTGAACAAGAAAAACCCGCCAATGACAGAAGGTCTCTACATCGTGGGAGTACTCTTAGCATCCCAACAAATATTCTCGATCTTGCGGTCGCACACTTTCGGCACCCTATTCAATGTGGGCATCAAGCTCAAATCGGGCTTATCATCTGCAATATACCAAAAGGTTCGACAAGAGAAGAGCTCCTCCGGAGCTGCTGTATTTCGACCTCCTCCCTAAGTCACGTTATCGAAGAGATTAGCTCCAGAAAAAGTAAGATCCCTTTCTCCTATCAGTGTTTAAGACTGTCATCAAAGTCTTCGAAAGAGTATCCGACCGGCGATATAGTGAGTTTGATAACGATCGATGTCGACATCATCCAATGGGCTATGATTCAGTCCAATTATGCCTGGGGAGCGCCCGTATCGGTGAGTTACAAGAAGTCGAGACATTCGGGATGGGACTTTCAGCGTTCCGTGTTTGTAGAATCCTTCCGATTGAGAAACCTTCTCTATCCAGGTAGTATTGACCTTCGCCCTCATATACCAATACCTCGGGGTATATTGCTTGGCTGGGGCGCTTGCGATCGTGGCATTCACGCCCGTGATCGTCCTCATGACGAAAATCGAGAGCGCTCTGCAAACGAAACACATGAAGAAGAAAGATCAGCGAATCGAGATGGTGACTGAGGTTTTCAACAATGTCAAGGTAAACTCCTTGGGGGTCACGTGGAAGAGCTCATGAATCCACAAACGCTGGAGGACGGCAAACATTCATCGCTCCGAAATTCGCAGGTCATCAAATTGTATGCTTGGGAGAACTCTTTCATGCAAAAAATTCGCAAGCTCAGAGACCAGGAATCCCGGCTGATGTACATTTATCTCGGAGCTAGCAATGCATTCGGATTCACTTGGAATTGTTATCCGTTTTTCGTGAGTAATCCCTCACGCGAATCACGTTTCGATCTGGAGAATCATTGACACAGTTTCACGATCTCAACCTTGCTTCCCGAAGGTTTCGACGGCGGCGATTGGAGCCTACATGTTCTTGAATAAAGAAGGCGTCCTCAACCCGAAGATCGTCCTGGTTTCGATCGCATATTTCAATTCTCTCAGGGACAATCTGATCACGTTTCCGTATTCGGTCTCCTCGCTGGCCAAAGCTTTCGTCTCAATGCGGCGGATTCAAGACTTTCTCGAAGCCGATGAAGTGAGTGCTCCCTGATGCATTTTACTGCTGGGCTTCCAGATCGTTCATTCTGTTCTAGCCGACAATATTTCCGAATGGAAACTTTCATCTGATTTCCTCCGAATCGCCTTATCTCTTCTGATACCATTCACTGTGGCCACAGGTCGATCCGAGCATCATTAAAGAAGAACTCGAAGCCGATGAGGACATCTCATTCCGGAACGCCAGCTTCACTTGGGGAGATGACGAGAATCCCGTTCTGAAGAATCTCAATTTTTCCATAAAGAAAGGGGAACTGGTCGCCGTCGTAGGTTCCGTGGCTGCCGGGAAATCATCGCTCATCCAGGCGATCATCGGTGAACTCATTCCCACCTCTGGGTCAGTCAGCCGGAGAAAAGAGGTTGGTTTCTCTGGATCAGAATCTCCCGTTCGGAGCATCCCCTAGAAGTGCCGTGTGATCCGAAGTTCCTGTTTTGGAGAATCTAACCCCGACTCCTCATTTTCAGCGTAAGATCGGCTACGTTCCGCAACAAGCCTGGATTTTGAACAGCACGGTACGGAAAAACATCCTCTTCGGATGCGCCTACGCAGCTCGAAGATACCGGGATATCGTGAAGGAATGTTGTCTGCTCCCCGATTTGAAAATCCTCCAAGCCGGTGATTCGACGGAAATCGGGGAAAAGGGAGTAAACCTGTCCGGAGGCCAAAAGCAAAGAGTCTCTCTTGCGAGGGCGGTTTACCTGGATGTGAGTGTGCATGTTCAGAGCTGAAGTTGGCATCAAGATTGCCGGCTCGTTCAGTGAGATTCTGAGTCCATCTCGAATTTTCAGGCTGATATCTATCTTCTGGATGATCCGCTCAGTGCTGTGGACGCTCACGTAGCTTACGACCTATTCAATGACGTGGTCGGCCCGAAAGGTATCCTCAGCGGGAAGACGCGTATTCTCGTCACCCACTCGGTCGCCGTTCTGCCCCATGTAGACAGGATCATTGTCTTGGAGGACGGAGAGGTCACACATCGGGGCACGTATGATGAGATCATGAGCCAAAACGTTCGCCTCAAGGAGCTCGTCGAGACACATGCGAACACGGGCAGCGAGAACTCCGTCCACGATGAGGTTTCACGAGGCAGCGACGAGCCGTCTACAAGATTGTTAGTACGGCTAGCTCATCCTCCTTCGCCTGATGGTGGAGGCAAGCTCTGTCTTGGAGTACATCTCTGACTTCCCACTTGATAAATTACAGCCGAAAACGCACGCGGTCGGTCGACAGCGTCTCTTCGAATGTCAGCGGCTGCGTAGAGCGCCAAATGCCCGACATTCCTTTCGGGAAACTCATCGAGGAAGAAGAAATGGAGGTTAGGAGGACCCGAACTGCATGATTTGTTTATGGAGAATGTCATCCGACCCATTATTCATTCAATTGAATTCCGCAGGTTGGCGTGGTTCGATGGAGAGTTTATTTCGAGTTTCTGTGGCATTTCGGTATCATCGGAACTATCCTGGGGCTCACTTGTTATGCCCTTTCCAAAGCTGCCGATCTCTGGTCGCTTCTTTACATAACGACCTACAGCAAAGAGATAGAGAGTAATATCGAGTTTTCTTATCGCTGAATCCACGAGCGAACTTCAGAAATCATGTATCAATTATTGCCGAATGATATCGCGATGAAATCTAACTGACGTCTGATCCCGATCGCAGTAAAGAACGGAACTACCCCAGAGGACATGTGGTCCCACATGCAAATATACATCGCCATAGGATCTTCCCAAGGCGTAGCGATGCTGGCTGCCCTTACAGCCCTCTCGTTGGGCTGCATCTGGACTTCGACATCCCTCCACAACAAGATGCTCGACGCGGTGATGAAAGCTCCCATGAGTTTCTTCGATGCCACGCCAACGGGTCGAATTCTGAACCGGTGAGTCTGAATCGGAAGAGAGAGCTCTGCCAGGACACTCCGGAACGTTTATTCCGGAGAGGTTCCTTAAGCTGTATAAGTCAGTTGAAGTGCTGGGTGTCGCTCCCGGAAGACGTTTCGTGCGAATGCAGCATTCGGGATTTGAATAGTTCACGCCAGAAAGTGAAGGAAGCGCCAAGAGAACCGTTTCCAGAGGGAGAGCCTGGACTT